TTTGGCAGAGCTGGGATTGAACTCAGGCTCTTGTGCTTGTCAGGCAAGCGCTTATTCAACTGAGCCATCTCCCCAGCCCCAAATGATAACTTTTAATTTGAAGCACTGTTACTGTTTAGTAATAGTAGGTGTCCAGGAGCCTGTTGATTATGTGTTGCTTTTACTAGTTGTGTTTTATGCATACATATCCCATGTTCTGCTGTTAAAGCCTTTTTTTTAAAAATAATTTTTAATTTATTTTTTAATGTATTTAGTACAGGGTCTCACTACACAGCTCGGCCTCGTGGTGATCCTCCTGTTTTCAGCCTTTCCGGTGCTGGCATTATAGGCAGGCGCCACCACGCCCAGACTTGACGCTCTGCTTTTACATTGCGTGTTACTGCATACAGGCCTTCCTGTGTTCTGCATTGTCTCTGTCATGCTTAGTGGTCACAGCTGCTGGAACTAAGCCCGAAGTCAGACAGGCAGGACAGTCCCGCTCCGGTGACCAGGGGGGGCTGGGCACAGGCTGGCTGGCTGACCCTGATAGCGCGCCCATGAGTGCTCGGGCCTGCTGCGAATGCCAGTAACAGTGATAGTGTACATCTGTTAGGTGTCACTCTGTAACCCTCCCAGTGGCTCCTGTGGGGCAGCACTTAGCTCCATTTTGTATGGGAGGAGAAAGGCTCCTCAGGAACTCGTCCAGAGCCCCACACTGATGGCGGCGGAGCTGGAAGCCCGAGGTCTGGCTTGTATCATTGCAGAGTTTGAGCTCTCAGTCAGGGTTTGGTGCAGTGCTAGTGCGTATTCGGATCTCGCCTGACTTCTGAATCGATCGCCTTCTGCCTAAGCCCTTGAAAACACACGTGTGTTAGTGTGCTGGCCATACAGAAGCCTCAGGCTACACCGAGGCAGAGCGAGGCCAGGCCGGCCAGAGGCCCGGAGAGCACCCCAAGCGCGGGGGCTCCGCTCACCGGGAGGCAGGATGGCGTGAGTGCGCGGCCTGCGCCGGGCTTCTCTGGCTTCCATCTGCTAGTCACCGTATCTTCCCAAGTGTAGTGGACACCGCAGTGACTTCAGGGGGAGACTCATGAGATTCTCAGGAGGGCCGCGAAGGTACCTCAGTAGAATAAGCGCTTGCCTGGCAAGCACAAGGGCGTGAGTGAGTTCAATCCCCAGTTCCACCAAAAAATAAAAACAAAAATAAAAAAAAGAAATTCTCAGGGATAATATTGGCATCCAATGGCGTGTTTTTCCTCCTGTCCTCCGGAAGCGCTTACCAGGTTCCCGGGCATTCCGGTCGGAAGCTACCCTTATGCACTGCTCTGGTCTCTGGACAAAGCTGGTTTCTCCATGGTCTGTCAGTATGTCCATGGTGCTACTGAGGAATCGCTTCAGAGGGCCCTTCCTGGCTGAGTTGGTCTGTGTTCTCATTCATCCATCGAGGCAGAGTCTCACTGTGCTGTTCAGGCTGGCATTAAGTGCACTGTGTAGCCAAGCTGGCCTTGACCTGGTGGCAACCCTTCTGCCTCGGCCTCCTGAGTGCTGGGATTGTAGGCCTGTGCCACACACCCAGCCTTCATGCTGAGTTTAGGTTTTCAGTTCTCAGGTCACTTCCCATGACCAGCGGTTTTCTGATCACACTGCTGGATGTTGTAAGCTGTGGCTGGGGAGAGCAGAGCCACGTCTTCCATGCTTTTCAGGACCATCATCATCATCACCTCCTCCTTTTTCTTCTTCCTTCTTCCTCTTTCCTCCTCCTCTCTCCATCTGCGGCATCATGCCTGGTCTCTGTGGCTGGCTCAGCGCTCCTGGAGTTGGGGCTGGTGCAGCGATTGGTGCTGGGGATCGCACCCAGTCCCTTTGCTTGGTAAGCAGGCCCTCAGTCTGCTGAGGTATCTCACCAGCCTCAAGGATCTGTTTGAATGAGGGAATTTTTAAATTTTTTTATTTTAGGGAAAGGTCAACAGGGTATTCAGGGTCTTACTATTACTAGATTGGATTCCTAGTGATCCACCTGTTTACAGCCTCCCAAGAGCTGGGCTTACAGGCCTGTGCCACCACACCCACTTTCAATCGCCTTCTCCTGGGCCCAGGGGGCGGGGCTGGCCCTTCGGGCCTGGCGATGGTACCCCTGGCCCCTGCGCCTGCAAACACTTTAGTCTGCTGAGCTATTTGACCAGTCCTTGGAAATTTCACATATGACTCAAAGCAGGATAATGTCCTTGAGCTAAATTAGAGATGGGGTTCAGACTCTAAAAGTTCATTGCCAGTTGGAGAAATATCTGGTTGTACTTACTGGGCTTTGGTTTCCTATCTGGAATTGTCTGCTTTGTTTTGTTTTGCTTTTTGGTTTGGCGTCTCAGGAACTAAAGCAGTTTGGAGGATAAGAAAGAGTGCCTGGTGCGTTGAGGAGCAGCAGTACCATGATGGGTGAGACTGCAGTGTTAAGGATCAGCGTCGAGGGGGCAGGAGCCAGGGGACCTGGGGCGAGTCCGTTTGGCTTCGAGTTGTGTCTCCTCGAACCTGGGTGGGCCGTAGAAGGGGTGGATGGGAAGGCTTCCGACAGAAGGGAATACTGATGAGTACACAAGGACATGCAGTTGGGTAGAGAGCCGAGGTGGCAGCAGCTCCCACACCTTTCCAGTGAACTGTCAAGGCCGTCTGTTGAGATGGCGACGGGAGCAAGACGAAATTGGAGGCCTAGCTTAAGCATAGCCCAGAACTACGCAAGTGGGGAATTGAACTAGGAAGTCCGTGAGCTAATTCAGGAGTTTCCTGGGAGCAGCACAGGTGTGCTCGCATGACGGCCGCGCCGCGGGCTGCAGCCTCCTGGTTGGGATGTGCAGCCGCTGCCCTGCACGGGCCTCGGAGGAGGGGTGGTCAGAAAATACAGTGAATGACTAATTTTTAAAAACTACATTAAAAGACGTTTTGCCAAGAATAGTGAAATAAATATGTATTAGGCGTGAAAGGGAGTGCTTTGGGCAGGATTCATGGCAGCGTGCCTTTTCCTTAAGGATATCTTTAAAGAATGGCCTTATTTGTAGATCATATCTTGTTGATCAAATGTTTACAGCAATTTCTGTCAAAAACTTCTTGGAGTGTCTATCTGTCGTGCTGCGTGCTGCTCACTGAATCGGTACCACGTCTGGCCCTGCCCCAGAGTCAGCCGTGCAGCTGAGGACAGTGCCCCTTGTGAATGTCAGCGGCTCTGCTGTGACCAGGGTGTGTAAGGGGCGTTTCTGCAGGCGTGCCAAGCAGGACAAGTCTGGGAATGAGAGACGAGCTCTTGGAATATTATTTGGAAAGTAGTTTTGCTTGCATTGCCTTAATCGGCCCAAGTACACTCTGGTTGTCTTTGCCTGACTTCAGTAGTTGCCAAGAATTTGTCTGGTCCAGATGTATCCCATTCTAATAGAATTTAGAGCCTCTGGAAGATTCCTGAAGACAGTGGCAGGTCCCCTCTGTGTGCAGCGCAGGGAGTGGAGTAAGGGAGTCCCTCCCTGTCACCTGTGGTCTCCGTGCTCCCTGGACTCTTGCCCGTGCTGCTGCGTTGCCTCACTGAGTAGTGTGTCCCTTTGGTGCCAACTCTGCAGCCAGTGGAGCATTTGGCAGAATCTCACGCTTGGGTAATGCTTTTGGGCCCCATCAGCTTGTCACCAGCTGTCCTCAGCTAAGTGCTTTCTTACCACGATTCACGATGAGGTGGAGCTGAGAGAGGAGTTTTCTCCTCAAGGCCCATGGGCAAGTAGGTAGCTCTTCTCAGAGGAGTCACAGGTGGCCAGCGACGGGCCAGGTGGGCTATGCAGGTGCCTTGTCTGGGTACGCGGTGGCTCCTGGGGTGAGTCTTCATTGTGGCTCAGCTCCTTGCCTTCTTCCCTGTTGTGCACCATTTCAATGTCCTCTCCACTGTGTGTCTGCTGGGCAGTTGGTCATGTCCACAAGGCTCAGCTTGCAGGTGGCCTCTGGACAGCCTTCCACCAGGGCTTCTCTCCTTCCTGTCGCTTCCTTGTGCCCCATCCCACTTTTCTTCTGTGACCCCCATACACTTGTACACTCTTGTATCACAAACTTGAGTTTTAGAAAGAGTATCTTCTTTTGGCCTCAGATTCCAATCTATAAATAAAATTCTGATGTAAGATTATACTTAGCAGATTTTACTGCCCTAGATCAAACTCTGCTGTTGCCTGTAAAAAAAGTAGTATTTGAGGTCAAAGTAGTGCTAATTTTTTGTTCTTAGTTCTCAGAACTTTCTCAGATTATGAAGATTTAATCCAAAATACCTGCCTTATATGGAGAAAATCTGAAAAGTAGGTAATAATCAGTAGGGCCTGGTTGTTCACTCCTGTAACCCCAGCACCCAGGGGGCTGAGGCAGGAGGATTGCTGCAAGTTTGATGCCAGCCTGGGATAGATACCAAGACTCTGTCTCAAAAAACCAAAACCAAACAAACCAAAACATTAGCTACTAATTGATTCAGCTGTATAAATCAGTTTGATTTCCTAGTAACTAATATGTTTTAGTAAACTAAATTAGAAAAAAAAATCCAAATGCTTTATTATTTATTATAACAGGACATACAGAAAAAAAACAAGTGTCTATACTGTTTTCCCAGAGTTAAAATTTTGATCCTTCCCCGAACTTGGGAGCCCTAGGCAGGAGGACGGCTGGGAGCCAAGGCTGCCTGCAGTGCATATAGCGAGATCCTGGCTCAGGAAAGATGAAAAAGAAATATTAACTGTCCTCCTTAGATAAAGTGAACAAAACCCCTCGGACAAGAAATATGAAAGGGACAGAAATAAAGGCCAATTAAAAGAAGAGAAACTGATGAGTACACAAACACAGAGTGGCTGTTGAAGTGTGGGGTCAGTGAGATGCCTTTGTCCGAAGTTGTCGGGTGAGTAGAATTTTCTTTAAACAGGGGTGTGAGCCTCGCGCACGCTAGCCCAGCCTCTGCCCCCGTCTGCGTCCCGGCCCCGCAGTGCTCAGTCCGCACGGCTCGCTGGAGACGCTGGAGCACTGCTGCACTGTAGGAGCATAAGCTGCTCAGGAGGACAGGTTGGCAAGCCCGGCTCAGAAATTTGTAAGTACGTATTTGACCCAGGAGTTCAGCTCCACCTGCCGCTACCCCTACTCGCTGCTCTTGTACACAGGATCTTCATAGAAGGCTCTTCAAGGTAGCGCTGTTTCTAATAGGAAAATTAGAAGCAACTCAGATTTCTACCAATGAAAGTTTCATATTTTCTTAAATGTATGCGGAAGTCTAAAAGGATATTTTCCAAGTTGTAATATTTGTAGAAAAGTGAGTTTTCACTTGGGTTTTATCTTTTTTAGTCCACGTGTACTAGACATAGCGATTACATTCTTGTGTGTCAGTGCGTATATACAACACATCATAATTCTTTATTTATTTTCATCTTATATATTTGGTACATGGTCTCACTGCGCAGCGTGGACCCGAAGTGATCCTCCTGTCTGCAGCCTCCCCAGCGCTGGGATTACAGGCATGCACCACTATGCCTCGACTTGGTTGCCCTGGGAGTGGGGCTGGCTCAGCATGTGGGACCCGGGTAGAGCGTAATTCTTTTTTTGAATCCTTCCCTGCTCCTCCTTCCCCTTCCCCCTCCACTTCTTGGTCCCTTTCTTTGATATCTGTTTTGGAAATTTTTACAGTGAGCTTAAAAGTATGAATGTGTTTTAAATTGAAACTGAAGGTTTGCACATGCTGTTTGACCTGCAGCTTTACTCCTAAACACTGTCTACGGGATAACTGCGAAGCAGCCAGGCGTTTATCCCCAGCATTATGTACAGCCTTGTTGCCACGGTGTTTGTAAGAAGGTGCTTAGAAAGACGAGCTTCTCTTTGTTTGTTAGAAAGTGTTCTACAGGCTGAACTATTGATTTGCAGTTAAAATCTGATTTCCAAACCACTCGGAATTTATTTGACTTTAAACTTTGAAAGCTTCTTGGGACCTCCCTACTGTATGACTTTTGTAGTTTCCTAAGAGTTTGTATTTCAGAACGAAATTGAAAAGCTGAAGGGAATGGTAAGACCGTGGCTTCCCCTCTCAGCATTTGGCTTTGCTTCATGATTCTGACCAGGACAGCTGCTGGGTTGCTGGGGGGCAACCTGTGCGATAGGCCGAGCCACACGGTGGCTAACGCCGCTTGCATCTTGGTTCGGTTCGGTTTTTAATTTGAGCATTGTTTCAAACTTCAAAGTGGTTGCAAAAATGAAGACCCAATGGGAATACCTTTTACCTCTTCCAGACCCCGCCGCCCTTGGCGTGGGACCCCATGAATGTCCCTTGGCGAAGTGTTATTTCGTGGCCATTCCTGCCCCTCTTCGTGTGGTCACTGCTGCAGCTTCCTGGCTGCCAGGCCTTCTCTCACTGGAGAGGTTTACGCCTGGCTTTCCAGCTTCTCAGGAGCTGAAAGTGGGTAGTGCTCTCTTTATATATAAATAGAAATTCAAGCAGGACCCCCTTAAAGGCTTCGAACAGTTGATTTTACCTCTGAATTTTATGCTAACCTTGTCCCCAGCCCCATGGTGCCCCTTCAGTTGGGGCCGACCGCACTGTTCAAGGCGCTGCTGGACAAGCAGCTGACTTGCTCCCACTGCAGCGCCTTTCCTTATGCTGAGGATTCTCTCTATAATCCCAGCATCTGGGAAGCAGAGGCAGGAGGATCTCTGCACGTTCCAGGTCAGCCTGGACCGAATAGTGAGTTTCAGGCCAGCCTGAACTGCTTGGCAGGACCCTGTCTCAAGCCTCCCCCCTTGTTTCTCCAAATTTTCTCCTGAGTTTGACTCATGACTTTTGTGTGTTTTTAAAAAGTTACTCCTGGGCTTCTGCGCTCTGTCTTGCTCTCTTCAGATGCTCTTGAAAGGTCTCTCTCTGTTGTCTCCCTTCTTCTCCCCACACTGGATGGCGTGGGCTTCGGTTTTAAAAACCCCTGTAGGCCTTGTACTAGAGGCCTGGCCTGGTTTTGAATGACTTACTGTGGGTTGAACTTAATTTCATTGTAGAGCTGTGTAGCAATCTATAAAAACCAAATTCTAATCATAGTCTTCATTGATGTTTTCAGTCTCTGGGATGCAGCACTCTTCTTCGCTGCGGCCAGAAGGCCCCGCAGTGCTGGCAACCCTGCCAGCACAGAAGCGTAAGCCTTTGTGGCTGCGACGAGGCTGGTGCAGGGCACCCTGGCTGGGTGGAGACTTCGAGTGGGGTCTGGGAGTTGGAGAGCTGGCTGGGAAGGAGCTCTGAGTTGCAGCAGTCCAGGTCTGAGCGCCTTGTGATGACAGGAGAGGCTTGGCCTTTTTTTTCCCCTTAAATGAAGCTAAGGCTAGAGCTTGTTCGTTACCTACAGTGTCCACATTGATTTCTGCTTGCAAGGTGGCGTGTTAACAGATTAGCGTGGTTACTGCCAATTCTCAGCGGCTTCCTTGCTCTAAATGAATCAAGCGGTTGCTGTTGAGATGCTCTTGA